CAAAATTTATGTTAAGTGCAACATTTGTTACGTGAGTTTTGTCCCATTGTATGATCTTTCTAGCTACAGTTGTTAAGGGAATCATTGCAGTTGTTAAGCTACTAACATGGTTGTTAAGTGAATCTGGCTTCCCCATTGAGTTTGCTTGTTGGATGGTTGCAAAAGGGGATCACGTCCAGGGGTGGGATTCTACCAGTTCGCACCTATTCGCTAGAACTGGTTGTTAACATTCTAAGCAGTTTGGAGAACCAGTTGTTAGAAGAAATTACTGGCCTAATCCTGTAAGGAAGGCAGGAAGGAAACATTCTGGTGTTGCTTACAGAAACTGCCTCTCTGTTAACTCTTATTACATTCATGGCAGGACTAGACTTCTTGTCTCAGGAACTTCTCTGGAATTTCCCCCCCCCCTCCTTTCCTGGTACTTTGCTTGTGTGGAGTGACCATTCAAAGTTACAATGTCACTGAAAAAAGTGACTTATGACCATTTTTCACACTTACGACTGTTGCAGCATCCCCACAGTCATGAGAGGCCAGGCGAGGAGATGCGTGCCTCGATGTGAGTGATGTTGAGTTGGCCACGCCCAGCCAGTCACATGACCACCAAGCCACATCCACCCAGTCACATGTCCACCAAGCCACGCTCACCACCTAAGCCACGCCCACAGAACTGGTTGTTAAAAATTTGAATCCCACCCCTGATCACGTCCAGTGGTGGGATTCAAAATTTCTTACTAACGGTTATGTGGGTGTGGCTTGGTGGGCGTGGCTTGTTAGGCAATTGGCAGGGGAAGGATATTGTAAAATCCCCATTCCACCTCACCTCACTAACCTGTTTTCCTGCTCCGTTCTCCTATGCAGGGCAATAAAAGAAGGCCCAGCTGATCTGCTGGGACTCAGGAGGCAGAGAATAGATGGGGGACGGGGCCAGTCAGAGGTGGGATTTGCTGGTTCTCAGAACTCCTCAAAATTTCCACTACCGGTTCTCCAGAACTGGTCAGAATCTGCTGAATACCACCTCTGACATGACCCCCTTGCCAAGCAGCTGAATTTTGATCACGTGACCATGGGGATGCTGCAACAGTCGTTAAATGTGAAAAATGCTCCTAAGTCACTGTTTTCAGTGCCGTTGTACTTTCAAATGGTCCCTAAACGAGCCGTTGTAAGTCGAGGGCTGTCTGTAATTTCCTCCTAGCAGTCTCAGTGCCCCAGCCTTTCCAGCCAAAAGCCCGATTTTGCGTTTACTTTGCCAATTCTCTGTTTCTCTGAATGGAATCCGTGGAGGGAGGGAGCCTTTCTCTCTTCGCACGACTGATCCAAGAAGATCTGCCCAAACGCCTGCCAGAATGAATTAAGTCAAGAGCGGGAAGCGGAAACAAAACCACAGCGCGCTTCTGTTTGGGCGAGGAATTTCAGAGGCCTGTTTTTAGCATCAAGAGAAAGTCGTGGAAAATATCCTGCTGGCAATCGAAGGGCTTTCGATAGGCCTTCCGACCGACAGCTGATCCCTCAGCTTGCAGTCTGTGTGGTGAGGAGACGGTGGGTACAGCTTCAGGCATTTGGCAACAAGCCTCAGGAGTCCTTCCATCTGTCGATCTGACCCAGAGCCGCTTCGCTGAGCAGCTGCCCGACGATCTGTGGCCGATGGCTGGCACCCCTCATCCCATGCCCAGAAGACCTCATGTTCTGAGGGGTGACCCGGACAAACCTTCCCAGTCTTCTGCACCTGTGGCCTTTCATTTCATGGGCCTTTGCTTCAGACAGATAACAGATAATCAGAGTTGGAAGGGACCTTGTAGGTCATCTAGTCCAACCCCCTGCCTAAGCGGGAGACCCTACACCATTTCTGACAAATGGCAGTCCAATCTCTTCTTGAAGGTCTCAAGTGATGACGCTCCCACAACTTCCGAAAGGAAGCTGTTCCATTGGTTGATTGTTTTCACTGTCAGAAAATTTCTTATTTCCAGGTTAAATCTCTCCTTGTTCAGTTTCCATCCATTATTCCTTGACTGGCCTACAGGCACTTTAAAAAATAGCTTGACCCCCTTCCTCTCTGTGGCAGATTTTTTGGTCCATTTCTTCCAGGCTTCCCGGTGTGGGGGATGAGACTGTGTGAAATTGGTAGTCCTCGACTTAGTGGCCATTTGAAGTTATGACAGGCTGCTGCCCCCCAGGAGTTCATGCGATCTGGACTCGAAGTTCTGACCGCTGGATCCCTCATGATCACATGACTTGAACTTCAGGCGCTTTGAAGCCGGGCTGCATTTATGGCTGTTTGCTGTCATTTTTTTACAAAGGTTTTGTTGAAAACCAGATTTGCTCAAAGTGAAGCATTGGTTTATTTAATGACTGCTATGGTCGCTTTATGACTGCCACAAAAGTTAGCTCAGTTACACGGATGACCTGATTTATAGCTGTCACGTGTTATAACCATGAAAGGCAGGTTCTGTTACCATCATAATTTGAGGAGTACCTATATTGGATTAAATCCAGAGGTGGTATTCAGCAGGTTCTGACTAGGTCTGGAGAACCAATAGCAAAAATTTTGAGTAGTTCGGAGAACCAACCTCTGACTGGCCATGCCCCCATCTATTCTCCGCCTCCCAAGTCCCAGCTGATTGGCTGGGTCTTCTTTTGTTGCCCTGCACAGGAGAACAGGGCTGGAAAGCAGGTTAGTGGGGTGGGGAGGCAATGGGGATTTTGCAATATCCTTCCCCTGCCATGCCCACCAAGCCACGCCCACAGAACCGGTAATAAAAAAAATTGAATCCCACCACTGATTAAATCAGCTTCCCAGACTCAATAGTATCTACATGCACAAGCCAACGGTAGCCCATTTAGGACAAACTGTGATCTGGCAGCACCCTTTGTTTCAAAAATACTAGCTAGTAAAACCAAGAGGTTAATGGCAGGATTGTAGTTATGTCACCTTGAGACCATTGGAAGACCAGCTGAGGGACAGATCTTCGTGGACAAAATTGATGTGGTTGCTAGGAAGCGGCACTGACTTTGATGACACGTAATCAATCAATCTATCTTAAATAAGAGAATAAACAGGATATCATGAAACAACGAAGAACCGCTATGTACGTGATGAACAGTTTTTTATTCATTAATTCTGTCTCTAGGAGATTATCCATGAATCTCATCAGGCCCAAGCCACCTCTGGCTCACTTAATCAATTAGCCCTCATAACTAGTCACTTTAATTAAGGTCTAATTAGAATATCAAAAGGGACCTCATCACCCTTTTTATAACCTCTGTGATTGTGCCTTTAATGTCAGATTAATACTAGTTTAGGTGGGCGGGAGAAGTGGGGATTTCCCTCTTTTTTTTTTTCATACCCATTCTCATTCCATTTCATGAAAGTACGTTGCTTATGAAATTAATATTGGGAAATATTTCTTATTTCGTTATGAGAACGTGTAGTGGTATATGATTCTAAAGAAGCTCCTTGGATGAGAAGAAAAAACATTTTCAAAGGCAAGAAAACCCCAAGAAAGTCCAGTTGTCTTTTGGAAGAAAAAAAAACCCAGACCTTTTGGACAACTATTACGTGGATGACTGAGAATTTTTATATAGGAGCAGTAGTAAAGAATCAATGCATGATGCGGCTGATTCACTTTGTAAGTATTAGTACAACTTTATAATGCCTTGGTAAGGCCACACTTGGAATACTGCATCCAGCTTTGGTCGCCACGATGTGAAAAAGATGTTGAGACTCTAGAAAGAGTGCAGAGAAGAGCAACAAAGATGATTAGGGGACTGGAGCAATGGTGGGATTCAAATTTTTTTACTATCAGTTCTGTGGGCATGGCTTGGTGGGTGTGGCAGGGGAAGGATACTGTAAAATCTCCATTCCCTCCCCACCCAACTAACCTGCTTTCCAGCTCCATTCTCCTGTGCAGGGCAACAAAAGAAGACCCAGCCAATCAGCTGGGACTCGGGAGGCAGAGAATAGATGGAGATGGGGCCAGTCAGAGGTGGGATTTGCCGGTTCTCCGAACTACTCAAAATTTCCACTACCGGTTCTCAGAACTGGTCAGAACTGGCTGAATAGCACCTTTGGACTGGAGGCTAAAACATATAAGGAATGGTTGCTGGAACTGGGTGTGTCTAGTCTGATGAAAAGAAGGACTAGGGGAGGCATGATATCAGCCTTCCAATATCTCAGGGGCTTCCACAAAGAAGAGGGAGTCAAACTATTCTCCAATGCACCCGAGGGCAGGACAAGAAGCAATGGGTGGAAACTAACCAAGGAGAGAAGCAACCAAAAACTAAGGAGACATTTCCTGACAGTTAGAGCAATTAATCAATGGAACAACTTGCCTCCAGAAGTTGCAAATGCTCCAACACTGGAAGTCTTTAAGAAGAGATTGGACAACCATTTATCTGAAATGGGTTTCCTGCCTAAGCAGAAGGTTGGACTAGAAGACCTCCAAGGTCCCTTCCAACTCTGTTATTCTATTCTATTCATCTCACCAGGTTTCCTCAACTGGCTATTGAGAAAAAGAAAGATGGTTGTGTTTGGAAAAAATCCCACTTAAGGCTCTTCGGGCAGGGTGAGGGGTTCCACTCAGCTGAGGTCCATTCGAGATGTTGGTTTCCTATCAAGAAAGAGGAGAGGATTGAAGAAGGATCCACACCCACCCTCTCAAGGTGCCACCTAGAATCTCCAGGAATGGCCGTCATGGGAGGTTGCGGCTTTCAGGAAGAAAACAGTCCCTGTGTTAGTTTTATTGAATGAAATGTATCAGGCATAGGAGCATGTCAATAGGGACAAAGCCACAGATGAAGAAATTTGATTTAGAAGTCCGTGGCATCTAAGAATCTGTGTTTCTGATGCCTTCAAACCTGTACAGGCGCCTTTGTTTTTGTCAAATCGTCTGGGAAAAATATAACCAAATAGTTTATAGTTAAAGCAGCGGGGGTGGGGGGGGGGTGGAATCTCAAAAAAAAAAAAAAAAAAACGCTCCTGTAATCTTTTCTATCTCTTTCTCCAGGAGCATCTGATGGGAAAGGAGTTACTCGATCCAGGAGCACAAACAGCTTCTTGTCCCAAAGCGGGAGGTGCAGGATGACTCCAAAGGAACCGTGTAGAAACACCATTTCTGGTGCCGTGGAATATGAAATGGTAGGGGGATCCAGAGAATGATTCCATGGGGTTAACTAAACGTTTAATCTCCTCTTCTCTCTTCCCCTTCCCTTCCCTTCTCTTTTTCCTCTCCTCTCCTGTCCTTTTCTTTTCTTTTTTCTTTTCTTTCATTTTCTTTCCCTTCCCTTCTTCCTTTCCTTTCCTTTCCTTTCCTTTCCTTTCCTTTCCTTCCCTTCCCTTCCTTTCCCTTCTTCCTCTGTTCTGTTCTCCTTTCCTTTTTTTCTTTCCTTTTCCTTCCTTTCCCTTCTTCTTTTCCTTTCCTTTCCTTTCCTTCCCTCCCCTTCTCTTCTTCCTCTCCTCTCCTCCCTTCCCCTCCCCTTCTTCCC